TTTATTACCTGTGTCATGTTATTTATTATATATCATCATAAATGTAGTTTTCTCTTACCATCCATCCAGATCAGTTTTACGATTATTTTATATAACTTTTTCTCCCACCAAACAAACTAACTCATTGAGGAAAAAATATCAATATGAACACAATATCAAATTGAAGGTGAGGAAACTTTTTCTTCATCTTCATCATCTCAATTACATTCAAACCTTTTTTATACTTATATTTAATATCTTCATCTTCGTCTCTCTCTCTCTCTTCTCATTTGCATAACGTTGATATTTTGATGTTATTGTTGATGATGAAGATGAAGATGCTGAAGGTTGTAGCTTGTAGTTTGTTGTCTGCAAATAATTTATTTGCATTCTCATTGCAAATGATTTGTTACTTTTCCCTATGACAATTTATCAAGACAAATGTGTTATCATTTCTGTAAATTATATTAATAACAACATTGAGAACCATCATGAAGATGAAATGAAATTTTCTCATTGGAATAGAGTGAAAAAAATTCTCAATAAATTATCATGATGAGGATTAGAAATAAAATGCAAATCAATGTTAACAATTTCCAAACTAATTGTTTCATCCAATTAGTGGTTATATATAATATTAAGTTTACACAATTATTAAATTGAAGATATAAATTGGATAACAAGAAAACCACTCCTTTAAATTGCATCTTCTTTATTATTAAACAATTAACTGAATCATTTCCAATGATAACTCATTATAATCAAGTAACATAATTTGAATGATTACTTTTCATGGTAAATTGAATGTGACATTTATTGATTACCTGGGTTGGGTATGAATATTATATTATATGTATTGATCGTATGATGTAATTTCATCAGCTCATTTTTACCTCATCGTCACAATGGAGATGAAAATTTCAATATCATCCTCATCCCATCAGCCTACATTTTGTATTTATATTGAACTTTAGACAACCTTCAGCCTAAATCTGGTTACCTTGATTATATGTTTTTTGCTTCTTTTGCTTGTTTAATTAAAGCATAACAACTGATCAAATATTATCACAATTAACCAAAATTGCAACATTGATCAACAATAACTAGTCATCAATAATCATCACCAATGATTGATTGGGATAATCAATAATGAAAAACAATGATATTCATCAAATAAATCAAATCTCTTGCTGTTTTTTCAGATGTCTTACTGATCAAAATTCAACGTAATGATTGAAGTTAATTGTTGCAATAAAAATCATCCCAATCATAATTAATTTACCAATAGGTTGGACTTAACCATGAGTTTGGATTAGTAATCAAATTAAAATCGTCACCTTATATCATTATTGTAGCATTTTAATCGTGATTACAGTAAATTGCTCAACTATAATCAAAGTAATTTCCTTTTTCTCTCATCAGTTTATCACCATGATATAAATGCGATAAGTTCATTGTGTCAAAACTTATTGTTTCAGCTTCTCAATCTTGTGATATATTGATAAATGCCAAGTTTTCATATTGTTACTTGTATTATATACTTATCATGGTGAAATTTTTTCCTTCCTTATGAAGATAAAGTCATTTCATGATAAGATTTTCTCTCTCTCTTATTTAATTGGCAATGATGAAATAAAGCATGTGATAAACAATAACTATGGTCTAATATATTGATAGAAAGACTGGAGAAGAAATAATTTCTCTGATATTTCATTTTTCCTTCATTTTTCTTCATTAAACTCGAAAGTTCTGAACAAATTTACAGCTCTATCAATGATATCAAATGTCCGGAAATTGGATCATTTTTTATTCTGAAAGAAAATCAAAAAATCATGCAGCTTTATTACTCATCATAAGGTGACACATTATATGATTTAAATTTGAATCTAATGATTAATTGAAAATTTATTTCTAATCTTTGGTATATTTTTTTAATCAACAATCCACCCGATGATTAACTAATTACTATTAATTTACTATTACTAATGTTACTGGCAATGAATATGTTGATAATGATGGTGATGCAGATACATTGGTCGATATAAGTACAGGGCAATTTAGCTATTTTTATCGATGTTTTTTGCGATTTTCTCAGCAACCAAAAGTCGTAGAGACACGAGACTTGAGTGGTATGAGTTTGAGCAATACTTGTTTGTCATATCAAAAGATCAAGGTCATCTGAAGGTAATTCTACGAATAAAAATATGCAGAGACACTACTGACAAGTTTTGAGGTTTCTATGAGCTTTGAAATGCACGTTATGATAAATTTATTGCATAGAAGATTTTCAGCAGTTATTCAATTAAACTGTACCAGAACAGTCAGTTTTTATCAATTTTTCTGAAAAAAATCACAGCTTTTGTCCAGAGATAAATTGGATTAACTTAATTAGTGTGAATTTAAGCCAAATAAACAATAGTCGGCGAAAAAAAGGGGAAAAACTTCTGATTAGTAGCTAATTAACTAAATCATGTTTTTAGCATTAGGATAAAAGTATAAGAAAATTTGGAAAGAATTAACTAATTACTGAATAAAAGAATATAGATTCTGACAAAATCCATTTCTAGGCCAGTTTTAGTACCTCTTTCCATTTGTGAAGTTTTCATTTAGTTTTCATCAAAACTTTTCGATCAGTTTTTTAATTAGTGCAATTACATAATGCCTCGTGCTTCAGCCTTAAGTGCTTATAAAAGAGGACAAATTGATACTCTTAAGAACGAAGGACTTTCAATTCGTCAAAGAACTTCAGAAATTAATCGTTCTTCGACCGTAGTGTTGAACTATATCAAATTAGGTACAAATTATGACTCTTCCCTCGATAAGATCGTCCCTCCTCGCTCAGAATCACACAAACTGGTCAAATGAATGGCTTAGTGTGATATTTTTTGATGAAAAAAAGTTCAATTTGTATGGTCCTGATGGATTAAAATGCTATTGACATGACATTAGGAAGGATAAAAAAATTTCTCAAAAAGAAACTTTGGTGGCGGGACTCTTATGGTGTGGTGGCATTCAGTTTCATTGGAGTTTATCTCTAGAAAGAATAATTCCAGCAATGAATTTAAATGATTACATTAATACCGAGGTAATAAAGCAATCAATAATTCAATATGTTATCGTGACAATTCATTGATGACCCTGATACTCATGGTCATCATCATGGTAACATAAAAGGTACACAGAAAAAAATTTTCATTACAGTAAACTGGAATCAACTTGGTTGGAAGATGAAAATTTTGATCCCTTCTTTTTAACCGAAATGCGAGATTTGACGGGTGTAACGAAGTTTCGTTGATAGCCTTGAAAACAAGTAAATATTATCTAAATGCAAATGGCATATACAGTTAGAGTAACATAATGGATGGTCCTCATCATATTAAATAAGTTTTTTAATTTTTTTGTGTGTTGCGCTGGATCGATTTCTGATCCTCCTTGGATAAATTTTATTTAGAATTGTGTCTATCATAACCACGGCGCAAAGTTATGGAGTGACCGTTTTGACTGGGAGCACTAAGTGAGAAAAAGGATGATTAGATTTTAAAGCAGTTCAGTAAATGTTTTTCACTCGCCTAGAAAGTGTTGTGCTAGCAGAAATTTTGGCCACTTCGTTTGCCAAATTGTCTAATTTATCCGAAAAAGCCTTCAAAATAGCCTCAATCTTTTCCTTCATGGAGATTGATTCTGACGATGCTGGTGAGATCGTGGCTTCATCAGCTTTTCCACCTAGAGATAATGAAAGATAAATAGAATAAAAGAATGAAAATTTTCAGACCAAGAAAAAGTCTTGGCAATTTTGGGTTTTTTGCTATTAGAATCATTTACCTTTTTTAGTTTGTTTTCTTTTAATTACTCCATCTCTACGTCCAGTAGAGGAAGATGATTTTGGTTCGTTAAACTTAGCCTTTTTCTTTGGTATATCACATTGTCCAGAAATACCTCTCTTTCTCAAAGTTAATTCTGATTGTTGATTTGGTTTCGATTTTTTTGTCTCGGTCCAACGGACCGTCAGTGCCAAAGAACATGTAATTCGTTTATTATATCATCAGATATCTTTTTTTTAATTGATGGAATATCGTCCTAAAATAAAAGAAATAAAGAATAAATTTTAGACAGATAATAGTTGGTATTTCATGGTATTTTTTAGCTACCTGAGAAAAATTGAAGCTTTCTTCTAGGCTAATTTTCTCGACGACGAAGTGATGACAAAAAATCCACAATCATAACAATTCGATTGTTAGGGCACAACAATTTTCTTCTTTCTCCAATTTTGAATAAATTTGATTTTGGATAAAAAGTTTTCAATAATATTCATGGCTTTTTTATCAATTTCACCAGCGACTGGGTCATAAAGATAAATTCTGTTGTTAAGGGTAACCAGCAATCAGGAACCAATGGTTTTTTTTAATTTATGGGGAAAATAAAAATATCAGCATTATTTTCCATCAGAATACGGTCTAGTACTTTTCTGTTAGATTCCATGCTGGAAAACAATAAAGAATAGTAAATTATGATCTTCGGAAGTTTCAAATGAGCGGATTCCTCGTTTCTTCTTTGGGTCAACCGTAGATATGAATTTATGAGATAATCACCAACTCAATATTTATTTGTAAAAAAATTCAAGTGATAAGAGCTCTCATTATTAACCCCACGGATTTGGATTTGTCTTGGATAGAATAAGAAAGTTTGAATTAGTTAAATATTGACTGATTGTTGGTTGAAGGTAACTCCCCTGTGTTTCCAGTATTATTTGTGTATAGACTGAATGACCATGAATTGGTTTTGAATCACCAGTATCAATTGTATGGTAAAATAATTTATAATAGAATCTGGACTAAACTTGTCCAATGTCTCTCTTACTATTTTCTCTTGTTCAGTCTTCAAATGGTCTAATTTAAGTTCGTCTTTGGTTGGTGATGATGAGACTGATGCGGTTAAGGGAGTGAGGGTGTTGGAATTGTTGACTGTTGTTACAAATTATATTATATTATTAGGCTGAGTAATAATTAATGTCCGTTTTTTAATTGTCGTATCTTTAATTAAATAATATCTTTAATTGTTAAGGAATATAATCAAATTAATCATGGAAAATATAAGAGAATATTATTGTAAATGATTAAAATCCATTAGAAAGACAATTAAATCACTTACAATTAGTTAATTAGTTGATCAAAATGGACCTAAATTTTGATGAAATTTATCATGTTTTAATTAATCGTTTTAGAATCGGTGAAAATTCAGCTGAAGCCTATCGATATTTATGTTTTTCTTATGGTACTGAGTGTCTGAGTGAACGACAGTGTCGTCGATGGTTTGTGAAGTTTCGTAACGGAAATTTTGAGGTCAAAAGAAGCCCAGGTCAAGGTCGGAAAATGACCTTAAATCTTGACCATTTGCGAGAAATTATTCAATCTAATCCTCGTCAATCAACTCGCGAACTTGCTATTGTTCTAAATGTTTGCCAAAAAACTATTTCAAATGGCCTTAAAAAGATCAATTTTACGAACAAACGAGGAACTTGGATTCCCCATGATTTAAGTGATGCTAATAAAGCTCTTCGACTATCGATTGTTCGAACATTGGTTCAAAGATTCAAAACTGACCCTTTTCTCGATAGAGTTGTGACCTGTGACGAAAAATGGGTTCTTTATAATAATGTTCACCTTCGTAAACAGTGGTTACCAAAGGGTCAATCGCCCGAATCTACGCCCCTCCCCGGGCTCCACCCAAAGAAGGTATTGATTAGCGTTTTTTGGGACTATCGAGGGATTATTCATTATGAGTTATTACCTGAAGGTCAAACAATTAACGCTGATGTTTATTGTTCTCAATTGGACAGATTATCTGAGCAATTATCTTTAAAAAAATTGCTCACATATTAACAGAAAAGGGGTTATCTTTCACCAAGACAATGCTCGACCTCATACCGCTCAAATAACGACCTCAAAAATTAAGAATGAGCTCAAATGGGAACTTCTTCCTCACCCACCATATAGCCCTGATATTGCTCCATCTGATTATCACTTATTTAGATCAATGGAACATTTTCTTAGGAATAAAAATTACCAAAACCGAAGTGACCTCAAAATCGGCCTCGAAAAGTTTTTCGACTCTAAAGACGGCAATTTTTACAAGAGAGGAATATTTAATCTCGTTAAGAGATGGGAGAAAGTGGTTGAAGCGAATGGTGCTTATTTCGATTAATAAATCTTATTGACCTTAACGATTGAATCTTAACCAAAAAACGGACATTAATTATTACTCAGCCTAATATATTGTTATAATAATTAGTGAATATTATAAGGTGAACTTCGAAACATTCGTTTCAAAAACATGGTGGACTAACATACATTTCATTTTCGTTAAAGTCATAATCGATAAGGGAAACTGCGTTGGACATACATACAGATCATGTGTAAGACATCGATTTGGTTCTAGTTGTTTATCAACGACTAATTTTGATTGTTCGGGGTTCTCACAATAAAACAGGACTTGGACTAACCTCTAAGTCCAAATTGAAAAATTCATGAGATAATTCAATTGAAAAGTCGCAGTAATTCAATCATGCAACATTTCAACGTCATTTATGGTTTCAACTACTAAGCAATGGTCTGTGTTGGTTATTTTCATCATTTACATCAAATACTATGGGAGCAACCCATTTTCTAAATCTACTGTGGGACTATAACAAAGGTTACTTTTATCTAAATTCGTGATGAAAATTTTTCAAGGGTACTTATCGTCATCACTGGTGGACCGGTCTTTAGTGACCGGTTCATCTGAACGCTGTTTCCTATTCGATAATTTATATACGATTCATACTCGGAGGGTAAAAAGTTCGATTTGAAATCAGATACGAATTCATTCCAATTATAATTAGTGTCACTTAGATTTGGACTAATGTCTTGTTGAAATGTTGACTATCTTGGAGTTCGTTTTACGTCCCAAAGTAGGCCATCAGCTCATCTCACGGTTGCTGAGCATTTGAGATCACTTTACCTGGCACCTCTTAAGCCGCAGCAAAACGCGTCCACACTTAAGCGTCCACATAGCTGGGGATTCAAACTTATCTATTGAACAACCGGCTAAGATGAAAGTTGATAAGTATGCTAATGATGCCGGATTTAGGGGCTCGATAGAGTAAGAGCCAGGGTAGGAGTGTCTCATACCACGGACTTACAATGTCATTTAGGGGCGTGATGTCATCATCGGTGGCTAACACACTAAAGAAACTGTGGTTCAATAAGACCAAATTCAGGATAATTACGAGGACATGTCTGAAAAAGACGTACGCATGTTGGATCACATTCATGTGTTCAACTGCATCCACTAAGCTCTGCGGATTATTCTCATTCATCCTGTCATGCATGCGTGACCGGGGCCGTTTACTCTTTTGAGGTGAACTTGTCCAATTCAAAAGATAATTGTCGTTGTCGTGCTAGAGTCATCTGCTCAGCGGGTGGAAGGAGGGAGAACATGACACAGATATACCACAAGGAAAAAGAGGGAAAAAGGAAATTTACTAGGATATACCCAAGTTGTTTTGATCTCGAGGGTGATAAAGTTGACCACTGGCTTGAGCTCTCGGTGGGACCTCCTTACAATATAACCTCATCGCTCTTTCTATTTTTCTATCGCTCAATTCTCTCTCTCCCTCTCTTTCTCTCTCCGTCAAATACATTGTATCACCGTTCACCATATCGTTAATCCTAGCTAATTATTCCAATTGTAAATCCAATTTAAAAAATCATAAAATAAATTAATACTGTACATAAATTGTTTAAATCATTACACAATTTTGATCGCAGTCTACCCATTAAATCATCTACCGATTCTGTTCTCGCTTTACAATGAGGAATTATGTGCCTACCCTGAAAGACATTTACATAGACTTGGAAAGAACTTGAAGGCATGCCTATTATTGATTAGTCTAATAATACAGGGTAACTAATTAAGACTCTTATTAATGACTATTCACAAGGTAAACAAACTAAAATTAGTTGAGAAGTTGTACTTATGAGTCAGAAGGAAGAATTCTTCTCATGAAATTTCATGTATTAGATTAGAGAGAGAGAGAGAGAGAGAGAGAGAGAGAGCAAAAAACTTCAGTAAACAGTCATAATGAATATCATCAAAAAGAACTATTGATTAAATTTACAAATTAACATCTAATTGCAATTACTTGGGAAAAGATGATTAAAACTCGACTGAATCAATCTAATACTTTTTCTGTTCAACTGATTTCTAAACTTTATGAATTGTAAATTCTTGCCTATGGAATCATTAATATTCAATTGTTGTAAATGAATCGAAAAGGATGTTGATTAATGAGGTGAGATGAAGGGGATAAAAATATTCCTCCATGAGGAACTTCATGATAATAATAATTATTATAATGAAAGATATTTTCTAATAAACTTTGGGTGGAGAGAATTGAAATTCAAGAGAAAGAGTATGAAAAAACAATGAAATTGGATGGAAATGAATTTAGCTACCATGATGTTTGATTATTATAAGTTATTCAAATGTGAAATTTCATGATGAATTAATGTACAAATTCAACAGATAATTTAAATACTCAGTCAGAATCAATTTAGTTTATTTTAATTATCATGTCTAGATAATGACAATTAGTATTAATATTCAGTTCAATATTTAATTTGTATTATTAATAGTACATAAGGATAATCTGAATTCATGATAAATGATTCGCATTGAAAGTCATTCAAAATCCATAGTGTTTACTTGATGAACTTTATTTAACTTTGTCCATAGTGAATATTTTTGAATTATTGTTATTGTTGTCACTGACCAATATTCTGACCATCGATTATCAATATTTTACCTTTCGAATAGCATAATAATCTTTTTCTTGAACCTTTCGGAACTTTCAACTGTAAAGATCATTTCTAAAGATGTATTCTATGCTTTCTCCATCGTTACCATAGTAAAACTTTTTCTATCATCATCATGAAAAGTCATTCCAACCATAAACCCAAACAATAATAATAATAAAAGTGCAATAAGAATGAATGAGAAGAAAAAGTTCTGATGGAATATAAAAAAAGAAAAGGAGAAAGAAAAAAGTTACCATGAACAATCAACTAGAAATATTATTCTAACACTTTCATGAAAAGAGAGAGAGAGAGTTCATGAACAAGATGGAGAGAGGAAAAAATCCCATTTCCAAGGGTGACAAGGCTTGACTTTCGTTGCAATATCATTACCATCGGAAAAGTAATTGCAATAAATTACCAATTAAAGTGAGAAAAAGAAATCAAATTAATATGAATTATTAATAAAAAAACAACAACTTTCGCAAGAAAAAGTTAACGTTGTTAATATAATTGAAATAGTTAGTGAAAACTTTACCTTCGTTAGTGTGGGTTTATTATTGATGATAGACAAAAAAAGTTTACTCTCTCATCTGATTACCAGTTTGTGGTCACAATTAAAATGCTTTCCAACTTGCATTGTATTGTATTAATGAACTTTCTCTGTTAAATGGCGATCGTCAATTATCTTGTTTGTTTATCTGTTTTTCAACGATTTCGTTGCAACGAAATTTTGATTTCTTATCTAACTTTTCATTGGTTCATTTTGTTTCAACTCTATATGTATTAATTAAAGACCTGGATATAATATATAGTATATATAAATCATCATTAGACTTGTTTTCCCAGGTAAACAAATGCTTTTTAATTAAATGTTAGTCACAACAATCAAGGTGTGTCAACCCCTAATGTCACAATGTTTCTTAGTGATTAAAATATTAGGATCATTTTGGAAATTTGCATTTTTGAATATGATTAAAATCTGAGCTCATCTTTTTTCTGTACAATGGTTACTATTAATACTTCATGTGTTTAAATACATTTGGAGTCATTTTCTTTACTACCTGGACATCAATTGTAGAAGGTCAATTCTTAAGAGATTTGATTTTTTTATGAATCGTTTTGTTAAGAAAAAAAGTAAGAAAAAAAATCAAACAGATAATAAATTCATTGGGATTAGTAAGATGATTCATACCATGTGAAACTATTCATTTCTTTCATGACAAGAAGGAAAGAAAAAGATTGAACTTTTATACATCTAATCTTATCCATCGTATGACTCTCATTTCACTAAGATGAATCTTGTATTTCAATTGATTTAATATATTCTGAGCTTTTTCACTATTCATCTGATTACATGATAAAACTTTTGAAATTCTGTCTTGATAAAGTTTCATCTCCTTTTTTCATTCTGAATTTTCCTTGTGATTTTTTTCTTATGCACTTTTTACATGTTAACCCATTTTCCTATTCACTTGATTCCCTCATTTTGTTCATTTCTTTTTCTCTCTGAATTCTCATCTTTATATCTTCTCTCTCTCTCTCTCTCTTTGCTCGCTCCCTCTTCTTTGAGTCTTTTTTCTTTTTCTTCTCAATCTTCCTTCCTTTATTTTCATTCTCATCATCATCTTACATCCTCTATCTCCATCCTTTACTGTTCAAAGTAGTAAAGTACTGGTGTAACCTCATCCTGATTCAATGAATGGCTCATTGACTTGGAATCCTCCTTATCCATTGTTTAACCCTCCATGAAGATGAATACCTATTCCTGTCTCTATCTCCATGAAAATCATTCCTTCTTCCTCTCTCTCTCTCTCACTCTTTAATATCCTTCTAACCCTTTTAACTCCATCATCCTCATAGATCATCATGATTATAATACATCATCATCTTATTTTGAATATTTTCATGTTCCACAAAACCTGATTAACTTTGAGAAACAAAAAAGTAAAAGACAACAATTTGATGGTAAAAAACACTAATCAGGAACCGCTGAGCACTAAAAGCTTCAATTGAACACGAATCATTACATTAGAACTTATTTTTTACTTAGAAATTTTCCGAAAAACTCAAATAGTAGAAAAAAAAGTTTCAATCCAATAAACACAGTTCATTGAAAATCCATATAATATCAATGGAAATCAATAAAACTGAATCAAATATGGGGGAAACGAGCAAAAGAAATGGAATGGTAAGAGATTTTCCCTCCAAACTTTTCAGCTAAGTTGTTCATGATTCAATATGAATAATAATAATGAATCATGAACGATATTATAAGAAAGGAAAGATTCAGTTCTGAATTTATTATACATACTCAGACCATTAAGATTATCATAATTATCATTATAAAT